ATGAGGACTCCAAAGAGCTTCTGTTTATGTAGGTTATATCTATTAAAACCTAGCATATTAGAAACTAAAACAGAGACAAATTTTTAATATTTATATATTAATTAATCTCAAAAATAACAATAAACCCATTAATTAATCTCAAAAATAACAATAAACCCATTTCATGATTAACATAATTTATTTTTATGTAAAATAACTACTTTCAAAAAAATAGAAGAGTGACATTCTTTTACATTTTTGTAGACCTCTTTGATGTCTGGCTCCATAGAAGTGTTGGATTCTCATACCTGCTTCTGCATTCAGTCTGTGGCATTATCACATGGCAGACAGTCGCTGGAAGATTTCACTTTCCTTCTTGACTGTACAATTTCAGAGAATGAGAGTGAAACAAGCAAATTTATTTTTGTTTGCTTGTTTGCCCTATATTATTATGAAAATATTTTTGACCTTGAGGACCCTCTGAAAGGGGGTTCCCAGGGATTCCCCAGACCACACTTTGAGAAACACTGCCTTAAGGCATAATAATTTGAACGCCCAGAATACATTCAGAGTTTGACTGTGTTCCTTGCATTTTCCCAGCCAATTGTTTAAGAATATCCCACATCTTTCTTGCCTGTAGCATTTTATGGTCCCTTAGAACCCCAGACTACCCCTTCTGGTATGAGATCTGTACAATAATATCTGCAAAAAACAATATAGAGATCCTGGCTCCAGACTGACTGAAATGTTTGGAAACATTAGAATGTAGCTTCTATCTTCCCAGTAGCTTTCCCCCCACCTTTTCTGGTAATTGGTACAGAAAGAACCATGAGACCTCCTGGCCTCTGTGATTGGCAGAAGGGATGGCTATTGGACCCAACCAAGCTAATCAGAACCCGTCCCTGAGTTTTTTTATCCTGGCTTGTGATTTCTTTTTCTCCTAAGGTATTAGCATGTTGTACTGAATCAACTTTATGTGCTGGTGCTTTAGAGTCATCCACTGCCATCCCACACTCACAGTTTCACATGCTAAGGATTATACCAGATAATTTCTATTGGCTCTTTTAACACTGACGTTCTATTCCAGTTTTCTTGCTGAACACCTTATTCCCCTGTGAAATTCCACCTTAGCTGTCCTGCCGATCAGAATCCATGGTGCCTGAATTACTCCCCATAGCTTGAAACATTAATGTTCTTCTCTCTGCTCCCTCGAACCCTCCCACACACTTGCACAAATTCCTTTTTAGGGAGCTCAACTCTTCTCTTTCACAATAGGGGTGAAGTGGCCCAGGGTGTTCTATCACCATGCAACAAATGGCCACCCATTCCAACACCCACGTTTATTGACTTCACAGTCTGCTGTGGTGGGGTGTGCCTTGTGTCTTTGCATGAGCCATTCCCTCTGCATGGAATTCAGTTTGACTCACTTTAGCAAGCATTTACTGAGTATCTACTCTGTGCCAGACACTTCACTGAGAATACAGAAGCATAAAGGACGGTCCCTACCCTTGAAAAGTTCACATCTAGTAGGAAAGATGAGACATAACCAATAACTACAATAACAGCTAGATGGTAAGATTTATGTTTCACATAGGACTCTGGTAGTACAAATCAGACAACAGCCAACCAAAACTGGCTTACGCAAAAAGGAGGATTACTGGCTCTCTGTCAAACCTAATAGGACACTAAGAGCAGCTCTGTGCTGGTTTTCTCCATTTACCTCCCCAACTTCAGATCCATTCTGTGCCCTTCTCTACCCTGCACTGACCTGAGCTTGATTGCTGGCTTTGATTGTGTCCAGCCAGTGTAAGAAACAGCATAAGATTTGAAAGCTTGAGGTGGGTAAGGTCAGAGTATTTACTTACCCCCAGCCCATCCCCACTTCCTCTCTGCCTTGATAGTCTGGCAGTGACTGCGTTCCTCTTCTAACTCTTGTCAGGCTCTGGTAACACTGTTCCCTCCTCTCCCCTCTTCAGAATTAAGGGTTCCAAGGCCCACTGTTGCAAGTCCCTGGGTACTTCACTATGTTTTCTATGTTCTCTTAATCCTCCCCGATGCCTCTGTAAATAGTTATGATGTTAACCTCACTTCACTTAGCCCTTTTGAGTATTCCATCTCCCCTCATGGTGGGGCAAGGTGGCTACTGGTGTCTAGAGTCTCCCATCCTTACACCATCAAGATCCAAGGCAGCAAAAAGAGACCACCTCTCCTCCTGTAGTGCCCACTAAGTCCTGGTCATGTGCCCACCCCTGAACCAATCACCATGGCTAGAGGAATTCAGTGTTCTCATCATCCAGGTGTGGTCACATGATCCACCTCCAAAGCCAGCAGTGGAGCTATCTTCACCCAAAGCTGTGGCCTGACAGTAAGGGAGGAGGAGTCGCCCAAAGGAAATTTTGGGTGCTGTTACCAAAAGAAAAAATGGGCCTGGGTAGCCCCAAAACAAGGAATTTCCACTTCAACATGTCAAAAGAGAAACAGATAAAAGGCTGGTGGAGTTAGAGATGAGAGAGGTCACCAGTGGCAAGGATTGTCCCTCTGTTGACTACCTGTGCCAGGAAGTTCTATCCTTTTTACTTCAGGGTAATTCTCAACTCAATCCTCTTCACTTCCCTCCCTCACTGGGAAGGAGCCAAACTTAGCATTTCCCTCTATGGTTCTCTAGACTGTAGACTTGTTCCAGTGCAGTCACAGGAACTACCTGCTGTCATTTTGTTTCAAGATAATAAGCTACCCCAAAACTTGAAGTTGAGGTATGTGCTAAATCCTATAAGAGTCAATCACTTCCTAAATTATCATAATACGCATGGACACATTTGAACTTCTAAGTAATAACTTGTAACAGAGACTCCCCTTTATTCAGTTTAATGCAGCAAATACATTGCATGATGACCTAGAAGTAATTTGGAAATTGAAAAGCATCATACAAATACCAGGCATAATTAAGCCCATGTTTGAGGCATTGTCCTGGGCTCTGTCCACCTGCTCAGCCATTTAGGAGCAATCCTATCCCCCATGTCATGCAGCAAATACCATCAAAGCATAGCTTTCATGTCTACTGTCTATTCATAAACTCAAAACTGCCTGCTCCACCCACACCACATCCCAACCCTCTCAAATCTCAAGGCCTCTTGACCTCGTTGCTCTTTCTCTCCTCCTTCTTCAGACTTGAAACCTTCCTGGATATGACCTTTCCTCTACTCCTGCACCAAGAAGGCTCCCCACCTGCTACACTGTCTCATGATACAGGGCCTCCTTCTGATCCAAGATGGTCAAACATTCTTTTCAAGATGCTGCTAATTCTGGTGTCTTCCTAATCCTTAAGAAAGAAAGTAGATGACTCTGAAGAATCCTGAGCTATGATCTCTGAGGAGAATATACTTTCAAGGGTGCTCATGAAGTTTAGTGGTGGTAGAGGGTGATGAAATACTGCAAGCACCTAGAAAGAGTTCCTTGATTGTGAGACTTTGGCATACCTGTCCGTCAGTGTGCTCAGAGAGTCTAAAATGATGACTAAGAATCTTGTAACCAGCTAAATCTGATCCCCTCTGACCAACTTGTTGCCCTTCTGCACTTTATTCTCCCTCAGTTTGGATCTCTATATTTATAGCCATATAGCATAAATATTAAAAACAAAAGTTACAGGATCATATGACCTGTTTTTCAAATTTAGGCAATATCCCTTAACAGATATGTGACCTCAGCAATTAACTTAACCTCTTTGAACCTCAACAGTAAAATTGGGATAAGAATTCTGCCCTGCCTACCTCACAGATGTCTGAGAATTCATTAAGACAGTGATCAGAACCCAGTAGGTGCTCAAAACAATGTGAGCTACTATTTTATTATTATCATTACTATTAATAAAACTCAAGGGGACATAAATTCTATTTACCTCCTCTTTCCCATCACCACACCATTCAAATTGCCCTTTGAATACAGCCAGCTACTCCACCCAAGCCCAAGTTCCTCCCTGGCCACCAGGAAACTATTTTCCTCATATATCCCTTTTTAAAAGGACAACTACTCAGAGCTCATCTCTCCATAGAAACTCAGAGAATAAATAGAAGCAGGAGATTTTCTGCCGTTTCCATTCTGACTGCCTCAATTAAATTAAAGCCCACACAACTCTTCCATTAGCATGCGGGTGGAGAAGCCAGAGATGTCTCAGTGACCCTGGCTCCGTGGTTGGCTTAGACCTTCCAATTATTTTCAGCCAAAATCTCATCTCCTTGACTGGTATTGTTACAAGTAACCCGCACTGATGTCTGTGTGAAGAGATGTGGTCAGGACAAATCTGCTGTAACTTTAACATCTTTTTCAAGTGCCAAAATTATCATTATGTTTTTCCAAATCATGAAATTCTTTATCAAGTACTTTTCTTTTTTCTCCCAGTGGGCTCACTCTCCAATAAATGCCTTTCCTCTGTTAGCAGACACTGAGACTTATAAAAAGGTAAGTGATAAAGAAATGGAAACAGGACTGCTCAGTTCAGATGAGAATGTACCATATAATAGAGTGTGTATATTCAGAGCCCCATGGCTGTGAGGGCATATCACAAGTCAATGTGCCATATATAGGATTCTCAAATCTTTCATCTATGAAGGCTTTTTTCAAGAACAGGAATGCAGACAGCAAGCTTCCTTGTTCCCATTAGATATAGCCAGATGACAACTCAAAGATGTGGCATGGCCAGCTGCCAGGAAAATACTTTTAGCTGAAGTGACATGGAGATCCTGGGAAACAAGAAGGGAAACTCTAGTTTTGGTATCAGAAGGAGATATGAGGAGGAAAGGATGAGGATGTTCATGGTCCCAACCTAGTGCAAGGGAAGCAGTTATACATTTGGATCAACCTTGAGTATGCAATAGAAAAGTGGTATCACCATACCAAGAGACAGCAATTTAAAAGAATGAATCAGCTGCCTGATTTCAAACTATACCACAAAGCCTACAGTAATCAAAACAGTATGGCACTGGCACAAAAACAGACACATAGATCAATGGAATAAAATAATCTAGAAATGGACCCACACTTATATGACCAATTAATAAATGACAAAGGAAGCAAGAATACACAATGGAGAAAAGATAGCCTCTTCAAATAAATGATGTTCAGAAAACTGGACAGTTATATGCAAAAGAAGCAAACTGAACTACTCTCTCACATCATACACAAAAATAAATTCAAAATGGATTAAAGACTTACCTGAAGCCATAAAACTCCTAGAAGAAAACATAGGCAGTATGCTCAATATAGTTTTGGATCTGTCTCCTCAGGCAAGGGAAACAAAAGCAAAAATAAACAAATGGGACTACATCAAACTAAAAAGCTTTTGCATAGCAAAGGAAATTATCAACAAAACGAAAAGGCCACCTATTGAATGGAAGAAGATATTTGTAAATGATATATCTGACAAAGGATTAAATATCCAAAATAGTTTTTAAAACTCATATAACTCAACAATAAAAAAAAACAAACAACCAGATTAAATAATGGGCAGAGGACCTGAATAGACATTTTTCCAAAGAAGACATACAGATAGATGGCCAACAGACATATGAAAAGATGCTCAGTATCCTTAATCATCAGGGAAATTCAATTCAAAACCACAATGAGATATCACCTCACACCTGTCATGACTATTCTTAAAATGACTATTCTTAGAATGACTATTCTTAAAAAGACAAGAAATAACAAATGTTGGCAAGGATGTGGAGAAAATGGAACCCTGTGCACTGCTGGTGGTAATGTAAATTGGTGCAGCTACTATGTAAAACAATGTAGAGATCCCTCAAAAACCTAAAAATAGAACAACCATGTGGTCTAGATTCCACTTCTAGGTATTTTTCCAAAGAAAACAAAAACACTGATTAGAAAAGATATATGTACCAATATATATGGGTACAATATGAACCATATATGCAATGTTTAATTGCACCATTATTCACAATAGCTAAGATATGAAAGCAACCTAAGTGCCCATCAATAGATGAACAGATAAAGAAGAAGTTATATATATATATATATATATATATATATATATATATATGATGGAATATTACTCAGCCATAAAAAAAGAATGAAATCTTGCTGTTTGTGACAACATGAATCGACCTAGAGGGTCTGTAAGTGTAATAGTCAAACAGAGAAAGACAAATGACAAATGCTGTATGATTTCACTTTTATGTGGAATCTAAAAACAAAACAAATGAACAAATATAACAAAACAGAAACAGAGTCATAAATACAGAGAACAAACAAGTGGTTTGCCAGAGGGGAAAGGGATGAGGGATGAGTGAAATAGGTGAGAGAGATTAAGAGGTACAAACTTTCAGTTACAAAATAAATTAGTCACAGGGGTAAAATGTACAACATGGGGATTATGGTCAATAACAAAGTAATATGTTTGGTGACAGATGGTAATGAGATTTATCCTTGTGATCGTTTTTGTAATGTATACAAAAAGTGAATCACTAGATTGCATAACAGGATCTAACATAGTACTGTAGGTCAATTATACTTCAAAAAACAAACAAATTAACATAGATGAATGCATAAAGTTGGGTATAGATATACAATGGAATATTATTCAGCCATAAAAAAGAAAATCTTGCCATTTGTGACAACATGGATAGACCTTGGGGGCATTATGCTAAGTGAAATAAGTCAGAGAAACACAAATACTTCACAATACAAAGACAAATGGTCTTATATGTGGATCTAAAAAAACCAAACTCATAGGAAGAGAACAGATTGGTGGTTGCCAGAGGTGGGGGTTGGTGGGTGGGTGGGTGAAATGGGTGAAGATGGTCAAAATGTACAAAATTCCAGTTATAAGATAAATAAGTCCTGAGGATGTAATGTACAACATGATGGCTATAGTTAACAACACTGAATTGTACATTTGAAAATTGATGAGAGAGTGAATCAAAAGTTCTCATCACAAGAAAAAATTGTAACTCTGTGAGGTAATGTATGTTAACTAGACTTACTGTGGTAATATTTTGCAATATACACATACATCAAATCATTATGTTGTATACCTTAAGCTAATAAAGTGTTATATGTCAATTACATCTCAAGAAAAACTGGAAATTTTTAAAAAGAAAATTCCTTAAATTAACCCTAAAAAGAAACACACATGCACCCTCAAAATAAAATTATGTACTTCCGTAGAAATATATACACCTACATGTACAAGCATAGAAGATGATCTGGAAGGTTAAACACAAAACTCTTCACAGAAGATACCTCCCGAGAGGAGACTGGGTTGTGTGAAGGAAGAGAACGCAAACCCCATCACTTGGGAACTTCTGCATTAGAGCTAATTCTGATTTTCTCCACCCTGAACTTGGGAAGTCTCTGGACTTTTCTGTGAACATTGAACATCTTCCCTTTTATAAGTGAAGATGATGTCCTCTGCTCCCTAATGCAGATGTTTGTGCCCATGCGTCCTACTGGCTGGTGAATCTCAGACACCATGTATGTGCATCATCCTAAAGTATTATTGCATTTAACCTAGACACTGAAGTGGAGTCTGACTTTTGAGTTCTATCAATTTAGAATCATTCTACTGCTTACAACATCTTCCAAAGACCATTACTCCCAATTAACTTTACCCTACTCATGCCCCCCATCAGCCAGACAAGCCCATGCTTGTTGCCCTTTTCCAAACCAGAACTAGCTACTTAGGCCTCGGATGTGTGTTCAGTGCTTACCTGTACTCTGCTTCTGTGGCCTTATCAGTATGTCTTGGCATCCTGGCTACCACTACTGTGGTCAGGGCATATTCAACTTCCAACAGGATTATTTCAAGAGGCCTTTAGATGGTCTCCCTGCTTTTATCTAATCTAATACTCTCCAGGGCAAGTTAGCTAAACCAAGGATTCAGCAACATCACCACTTGAAACTCTTCAGTGACCCTTGTCTCCGTAAGTGGCAGCTGTAAACTTCAGTGTACTCCAGAATCACCTGTTATGTTCTCTAAAATGCAGATTTCTGGCTGCCTCCTCCAAAAGCTCTGATTCAGTAAATCCTGAATTTTTAACAAGCACCTAAGAGGATTCTGATGCAAAGAGTATAGGGATCAAACTTTGAAAAACACTAACCTTAGGCTAAGGGCAGCCCTAGTTCCTTGCAATGGTAATCAGGTCCCTCATAACATGATTCTTACCACTCTAGCCTCACCATGCACCTCTCCCCACCTCACATATTTCTTTCCAGCAATACAGAGCAGCATCTTGTCCCCCACTCACTGTTTTGTTCCCCAATACAATTGTTCTCAACTGTGCCCATAATGCCCTCCTTGCTCATCTGTCAACACACTTCATCAACCTAATGCCTACTCATCCTTCATAACACAACTCAGGTATCACCTCCCCCAGGAAACCTTCCCTGACATTCCTGGTTATGTTCTCCCCCCATATTGTCCTTCTAATGCCCAAGCTTTGTCAGACAAAGCTCTTACTCCATTTCCTAGATTTTCTAGATATCCTGGATTCTGAGGTCCTTGCAGCAAGCCATGTCTTACCCTCCAAAATCTCAAGGAGCTAACACAGAGCCTAGCACAGTGTGGGTAGTTACAGTGGTGCACTGTAGGTAGTTAGGTACACTGGGAGTCACACTGGTGTGCTGTAGGTAGTTAGGGAGTCACACTGGTGTGCTGTAGATAGTTTGCTGGTAGTTGGATAGGCCACAACAAGAGAAGACTTTTTAGTTGACACCTTTCTGAATCCACCAAGCAAGTTAACCATGTGATGATAGACATGCTCCCTCCTTCCTCTTCAACCAAAAGATGTTGCTGCCCAACCTAAGGGTTAATCTTTTTTCCAACCCTATTTAAACAAAATTGTTATGACTCAATGCTTTCTAGCAGCAGTTTGACTCTAAAAATTCAATATCCAAGTTGACATCTACCAAGCTCATACCACTTACACTGCTTCTGAGAAAGAGGATTTTGTTGGGCCCCCTCAGCAAGGCAGACAATGTCATACTGACGCAGTCATTATTCATCCCACAACTTTCCTCTGCTACCATTCCACTCCCAACCACATTCTCATTATTAAACAATTTTTGAATTCTGGTTAGTACTCATAAAAACCCTATTCCCTGGAGAACGATGTCTGCCCTTAGGAGCAAAAGTAAAGAACAATCCTCTCCCTCCCTCCTTTCCCTCAACATGGGCCTGGAGGCCTTTGATGAGTGACTTCATGAACGTTCACCTCATTTCTGGAGAATTCATGCTAATCCACCATAACCCTGCTCAGCTCCAAGCCACAATTCTTTAGCTTTCATTGTACATCTCTAAGGGGAGATAAGAAATGCGTTTCTGAAACTTACTTGACAGAATATCTTACAGGATTAGTGTTCCCTGAATATATTTTGGTAAATGCTGCCTGAGAAACCACCCTATCTTAAGATATGCTCAGGTTCAACAAATGTCCTAGTTACTCAATCACATCTCAAGATCCAAGCTTCATTCCATTTCCAGGGCAAGCTATGGATTTGGAGTTGAGGAAAGAATTGACCTCAATGAATTGGGATGATTCCATTTCTCTGAGACTTCGGAAGGAACAGAGTCCCTTAGAAAATGTGAAAACTGGGAGGTATCCTAGAGATTGTATCATCCGGTGGTTTTATTTCCCAGCCCAGGATCCTGAGACCCAGAAAGCTGAAGGAATTTTCCTCAGTTTATAACCACACAATTATGGAGCTGGGATCCAGGACAAGGTTCTGATTAAACTCCAGAAATCTTTCCACTATACCATGCTGCCTTCAAATCATTTTTATACATGTAAGGTATACTTTCAGCTCTACAGCAGAATAAGTCTGTGGTAATGTAGTCAGGTGAAAGAAGTATCATAAATGAATAATGTATTTCTGCAAGATTTTCCTAGTTCTTTCCTCTCTGTTTCAAAGACCCTTTCATAATCATCCCTCCCTTCCATCTCAAACCCAGTACCAAACAATTTTTAAATTCTAGCAATTATACACTAAGATATCACTCTTTTGGAAAGCAATGCCTACCCTTTGGGGCAAAGTCAAAGAACAAAGCCTTCCTCTCATTCCTTGCCCATCACATGACTTTGGAAATACCTGATATTTGAATCTGGCTAATT